AAAATGGTGACATAGTCATCCTCCATTTTGTCCTCTCAACTAGGGTCGGCAGGTCTGTCAGATGAGTGGGTAAGGGATAAGGGTGCACTTACACCAGTTTGGTGTAGTGGTTAAGTGCGCAGACTCTAATCTGGGAGAACCGGGTTTGATTCCCCACTCCTCCACTTGCACCTGGCTGGATGACCTTGGGAAAGCCGTAGTTCTGATAAGAGCTGTTCTTGAAAAAAGAGCAGTTTCTGTCAAGAGCTCTCTCAGCCCCACCTGCCTCACAGGGTGTCTGTTGTGGGGAGGGGAAGGGAAAGGAGTTTGTAAGCCGCTCTGAGACACCTTTGGGTAGTGAAGGGCAGGGTATAAATCTAATCTCTTCTTCTTCTCTCTTACTGGGACTGGGGAGGGAAGAAGCTGGAAATAAATGCAATGACATAGGCACATCGGGGATATTGGAGGCGACAGTCTGGTTTGTGGGCAAAACCTCTATGGTAGAATTAGTTCTTACCATAGAGTTTTGCCCCAAAACCAGAGTGTTGCCCCTCAACATCACCACCAGCCGCCCCGAGCCTATCGGGGAGGGCGGGGTATAAATGCAAAAAAAATAAATAAAAAATAAACAAACATGCCTAATTCACTTCTGGGTGACATAGGCATGTCACCTTTATTTTTGGTTTCTTGCCTGGTTTTTTTTGGGGGGGGTAATTTCCACTGGTTCCTGATAGCCCTGAAATGGGGGAGGGGCTCCAAACTGGGGGATCCCCCCTTCCAACTGGGGACTGGCAACCCTACTCACCACTATGGTTGCCACCTCCAGGTGGTGGCTGCGGATATTCTGGGATTACAACTGATCTCTAGGCAACAGGGAGTTGTCCTGGAGAAAACAGCCACTTTGGAAGGGGGCCTGTATGGCATTATATCCCACTGATGTCCCTCCCCTCCCCAACCCCCACCCTCCTAAGGCTGCACCCCAAGATTCTCCAGGTGTATCCCAACCTGGAGCTGGCAATCCCACCACAACAACCCTGTGAGGTAGGCTAGGCTGAGTGCAGGACTGGCTCTAGGTCACCCAGCAAGCTTCTATGGGCAGAGTGGGGATTCAAACATGGGTTTGACAAATTGTAACCTGTCCCACAAATCACTACACCACCCTCTCTCCCCTCTAGTTCAGGCCCTGATTTTAAAGCCGCTGAGAAGGTGGGGGGAGGCTTAAACTAAATTGCTTCCAAACATCCGACAGTCAGGGGTGGACTGACTGGCCACTTACTTTACCAGGAAAAGTCCTGGTGGGCTGTGGCTAGGCCCCGGAGATCTGGAATGACAACTGATCATCTCCAGGCCACAGAAGTCAGTTACCCTGAAGAAAATGAACAAAGTTTGAGTCCAGGGGCACCTTTAAGACCGACAAAGTTTTATACAAGGTGAGCTTTCATGTGCATGCCCACCTTTTCAGACACAATGAAATGGAAATAGAAATAACAGTCATACATACAGAGGGTGGGCGGCGAATTAGCATGCAGAATAATGAAGCTGTTTTTAACTGATTAAAATAATACGAAGCATAGTCTACGGCTATCATCTGTCTGGGTTCAACTGGGGGGGGGGGAAACAGAGCCAAGCTCTGTCATGAGCTGGTGGTGGTGGTGGGGAACCTGGCCTTTTTTGATAGCTGCTTTGGCCTATCGGTTTATCACTGCCTGCATCTGTTAGCCTCATGGGGGAAGACAACAGGAGAAAGCATGCTGCCTACACGGTGTGATAGAGGCCTTTTGAAGAAAGAAAACGAACCCAAAATCCCCTGAAACTCTCGGTTTGTCACTTCTGGCGGGTGATTTTCATTTCTGACCCTCTAAGTTTCCCTCCTCCCTTCTGTCCTCTGTGGTCATCCAAAGTTCCAGTACACACAGCCTGGTGCAGGAGTGCAGCTCGTGTATTGCTCATCTCTCCCCCCCCCACGTGGGTTCATGCTGTTCTCTCTCCGGTTCCCCCCCACCCCTTTGGCATGTGCGGAATAGTTTCCGTGGAGAGGCAATCAAGGTGCCCCGATACAGAATGGCATTGATCAACAAATGATGGGTGAGTGAGTGAATGAATGAGTGGGGAGACAGCCGGGGAGGGGAGGAGCCTCCCCCCCCTTAATTTACCCACCAACCAAAGATATAAGCCCTCAGCTGAGAGAGAGAGCTCTCACTCACAGAGGCAGCTGCCAGAGACACCTGGAAGACCACAGAAGTCTGGCTGGGGCCCTTTGGCATTCCTTCGGCACCCGAATTCCTCCTCCTGCTCTACCTCCTCGTCACAGTGAGTACCCGAAGAGCCAAATCTATGGCAGAGAGCAAGTTCTTCTCTTCTGCCTAGGCAGAGTGGCAGAGCAGGGGTGGTATAAGAGAAGAAAGAAAGTGCATCTTAATTTCTCTAATCTGGGGACTCTTTGTGGCTACCTGTGATGGCCAAAGTGAGGGCTTTTAAACCTGGAACTTTTAAACGGGGCTTTTAAACCCAGAACTGCCCCAGTTCAGTAGAGAGCGGCAGTTGGAGGAGGTTGGTTTTAAAAGGAAAGGGTGTGTGTGGAGGGCAGAACCCTCCTCTCAGCGGTGGCTTGTCTCCTCACAGCCTTTCTTTTGAGGAACTGTCATCCCACTGAGAAGTAACCCCGGATGAGGGGAAAGAGAGAAGGGCAGCAAGGGAGGTAAAGCCAAGGAAGGGTGTGTGTGTGGAATCACTTCAGCTGTTTTGTCCCCTTTCTTTCTGCCTCAGTGTTCAAACTTAGAGCTGCTGCTATCAGGGACGTGAGACAACGGCACTGCAAATACGCTTTTGCGCCTCCTTTGTTATTGTCGCACATATCCCACGGGCATTCTGTGGCGTAGTTGAGGATTTATAACTTGCTTGACTTCAGCCCCAAAGGCAAGTTCCGGATTAAATCCAGGGACAAAGAGGAGGGGGGGGAACAGCAGGACAACAGTTTCCATGGGGAGAGCGATCCCGTAAAGGAAAGCTGCTGTTGTGGTGTAATAGTTAGGTGGACTAGGAGGGGGGGGAGACCTGGGTTCAGATCCCGGCTCACTGTGAAGTTCAATGGGTGACCGTGGGCCAGATCTCCCCCACCTTCACTGACTTCCTAGGGTTGTGAAGACAGCCCCATGTGGGTCTAGGGTTGTGAAGACACCCCCGTGTGGCTACAGCAACTGACTCTGGGAGACTCAGTTCTGAACGCCAGCTCTGCCATGGGTGACCTTGGGCCAGTCATGCACTGTCAGCCTAACCTACCTCACAGGGTTGTTGTGAGGATGACATGGAGAAAGGGACAGTGTTGTAAACCGCTTTGGGTCCCCACTGGGGAGAAAAGTGGGGTATATAGTAAGCCAGTGAATAACGGGAGGAGGAAAGACCCAGGTATGCCGCACTGAGTTCCTGGAAGGAAGGATTTTTTTAAAAAAGTAAGGTATAAATAAAAGTTACACCCTCCCATGGACCATTTGCTGGTTTGTGAAACCACAAGCAAGCATTCCTCAGCGTGTATGTAGCTATCCTCTCCTGATTTAAAACAATAGGTGAGAACAAAGTCGATTTTTGTGTTTCCTTATTGTGTGGCACTGATCTCGGTGGTCAGATTGTATGAGAAAGGACCACCAGACCAGTGAAGTCCAGCATAGCTTTATTTGCCCACCATCTCTCGGGGGATGCCTCATAGGAAAGGGTACCTGCCTCTCTCTGCAGCATGCTATCGTGTGGGGTTGGAGCCTGGGGATCCATGTGCTTCTCCCCCTTTGGGATCAGCCTTCTGCGCTCTTCTATTCTGCACACACTTCCAAGCTGCTCCCTGTGGAACTGCCAGGAGATCCTTTAAAGAGAAAGCCTGATTTCTAAGCTGAGTTTAGAATTGCTAAAGCTTAGTATATCTAAGAATGTCTTAGAATTTTCAAACTGGGCATAGAGATAGAGGGTGATCATAAAGGAGAGGGACACCAGACTCCAGGTGGGACCTGGGGATCCCCCGGAATTACAGCTCATCTCCGGACTACAGAGATCAGTTCCGCTGGAGGAAATGGATGCTTTGGAGGGTGGACTCTATGGCGCTGTACCACAGTGGGGTTCCTGACCTCCACAGGCACAGGAGAGCCAGTTTGGTGTAGTAGTTAAGTGCATGGACTCTAATCTGGGAGAACCGGGTTTGATTCCCCACTCCTCCACTTGCAGCTGCTGGATGACCTTGGGCAAGCCGTAGTTCTGATAAGAGCTGTCCTTGAAAAAGAGCAGTTTCTGTCAAGAGCTCTCTCAGCCCCACCTACCTTCACAGGGTGTCTGTTGTGGGGAGGGGAAGGGAAAGGAGTTTGTAAGCCGCTCTGAGACACCTTTGGGTAGTGAAGGGCGGGGTATAAATCCAATCTCTTCTTCTCTTCTTCTTCTTCCATCCCCAAATTTCCAGGAGTTTCCCAATTGGGATATGGACTCCCCCCCCCCCCCCCACCCCCTGCCACTGGCCAGGGGGGGGGGCAACCCTAGGGGACATGCCTGTCGGGGCTGAGCCAGGCATTTGACACATCCAGTGTAGTAAGAGGTAATTTTGGGAGATTGGCAGGCTGCTACCCACCCAAATGGAGAGGCAGTGTGATGTAGCAGTTGGACTAGGATCTGGGAGACCCAGGTTCAAATCCCGACTCTGTCATGGAAGCTCACGCAGCGACCTTGGGCCTCTTACTCTCGGCCCGATCTCCCTCACAGGGTTGTTGTCGTCAGGGTGAAATGGAGAAGAGGAGAACGACACTGTAAGCCCCTTTGGGTCACCGTAAGGGAGAAAAGCAGGGTATAAATATTTAAATATGTGAATAATATCGCCCCCGAGGGTGTTGTTCCACAGCCAGTTTCGGTGAGGCCGAGAGGTTTCTGATGTCGACACGGTTAAAGTGGTGCTTTTGCAGCGTGAAGCAGATGGGTGGTTTGGCTGAGACTGATCATCCAGCTTTTTGACAGACTTCTCCCACGGTCTTTTCCCCCGCCCTCCCTCCCAGATGGTTGCCTCTCTGAAACCCTGGCCCCTCGTGATCGCTGTGGCCCTGTGCGTCTTGTTCTGCTTGGGAACCTTAGTCGATGCCTATCCTCCCAAGCCAGAGAGTCCTGGAGACGACGCTTCCCCGGAAGAAATGGCCAAATACTTCTCAGCTCTCCGGCATTACATCAACTTGGTGACGAGGCAGAGGTGCGTGGTGGGGCTGTGTTGCGGCTTACGGGTCGGCAGTCCCTGAGCGTGCACAGCCACATGCTGGTTTTGGCTTTTGTACATGCTTGATCTTTGGGTGCCCTATCGGAAGATCAGGCTCAGTGGGGGTGGGCGGTTTCCTTCCTGACTTCTGCCTGACTTCTGCCTGTTTGAGCCTTCCACTCTGCAGAACACTAAAGGAGGCAGATGCCTTTTTCACCCACCTCAAGCATACATCCACAGATCACTTTGCTAACATTTCCCAGCCAGAGATGAAGACAGCAATGGCAGGAGGCGGTAGGGATGCCAGCCTCTGGAATTACAACTCATCTCCAGACTACAGAGATCAGTTCCCCCTGGAGAAAATGGATGCCTTGGAGGGGGGACTCTGTGGCATTGTGCCCCACTGAGGTCCCAGTCCCCCCCAGGCTCCACCCCCAAATCTCAACCTGGATCTGGCCACTCTACTCCCCCACCCCATGGGTGCCCGTGCGACCTGGCAACCCTAGGATGTGGGCACTCAAGGCAGATGAGGCAAGACTAACACTGTAGCCCATTTCCCCTTCACTGGCATGCTGGCTTGCATCGCCCATCCAGGAAGAAGCTGCTATGGGTCCCCCATGTTATAGTACATCAGTCTTCACCTTTGCTTTAAGTACGTTCTTTCTCATGTAGAAAAATCCAGACCTTCCCCCTATTTTAGTCTGAGATGGTCTCTTTTTAGAAATAGATGCAAAATGATCCTGGCCTTTATTGAGCACCATCCCCCCCCCCCTGTGCATACAACACAGTTGTGCATTATGTCACTTCAGCTTTGCAGAGACTGTAGCCTCTTACAGGACCATAAAACGCCCGATTAGCCACCTTCTCCATTAGTGTTGGCTGCCTGGACCAGCCCATTAGGTCCCGTCTCCTGGAAACCTAATTGAAAACCAGATCTGGGGGACATTAGTGCACATTCACCTCTCTAGGTTCCTGCTCATACCTCACCCCCCCCCCATGCTCTTTAACTCCCTATTCTCCTCTGACCTAGTTGTGAGCTGGGGTCTGGTCTTAGTAGGCCATGGAGAAGTACATTTGATCCAAAGGGGGAAAGGAGGAGTTTCAGGCACAATTCCTCTAAATCCCCACCTGTACATTGTCCATTTATGCGGCTAGTCTGCAGATGATCAGCTGCCTTCCCCTTTAAGTCGGAAAGCTTAAAACATACTGAAGTCTGTCTGGATTTATTCATGCAGCTTGTGGACTTTTGTTACTTCCCGAAATCATTTTTGGCTACTGCCTAAATGAGAGGTAACCTCCAGGAGACTGACGAAGGAGGGACTTACGCTAATAGCTTCCCATGATGCCACAACATCACTTCCAGCTGGGTAACCAGCTATGACATCATCACATTGTGGGGCTCTCTAGGGTTCACCCAAAACTCTATGGTAAGTGCCATAGCCTTTTGGGTGAATCCTTGAACATCCTTCAGCACAGTGACACACTTTCAGTTATGCAACCAGAAGTGACATCACAGCTTTGCAAACAGAAGTGACATTTCCCCCCTTTCCCTTCCCCATTGAGTTCTGGCAGGGGCTGAGGAAATGTCACTGGGGGCTCACCCATGGGTGGTGGGCAAAGGGCTTTGCTAACTGAGGTTCAGGATTGCCTGCAGTTTATACTGTCTGCCCTGCCTCCCCCCCCCCCCCATCTCAGTGTGAGATCTTATGTGATTACATTTTACAGCCTTACCACTCCAGAGCTGATGATTACTAAAGACAAATCATGATGAGTCCTGGTTTGAATGAGACCTTAGAGGGGTTTTTTTGGGGGGGGGGGATTTGTGATATTATAAACAGGGAAACAAACAATACAGAATGATTCATACAGCTAGAAAACAAGGTTGTATCCCTTAGTTCTGCAAAATGATTCATATAGTGTTCTATAATTAAGCGTTCCCTCCATATAGAGGTGGGGGATGGAAGCAGAAGACAAAAATATCTGGGTGGTCTCTTATTCCCTCCAAAGAGGTTGGCTCTGATTGTAACCCATTCCTCTTCCACTGTAAGGTATGGCAAGAGAGCCAGCCCAGAGACCTTGATGTCAGAGCTCATTTTTGGAGACAGCAGCAGCAGCAACAACAATGACCAAAATGGCAGATCACGGTAAGTCCCACTGAGAGTGTCTCATCCATTTCCCCAGGGCTGTGCTTCTTAACCTTTAATCTGCTACCACCTGCCAAGAAAGCAACATTTGCATGGAACGTACTTCAAGGAACGTACTTCAAGGAACTTTTTTTTTTTAAGACATAAGAGGAATACTCCAAACAAAGCAGTTTTGTATCAGTATATTTATGATCTATTCATACAACACACAGACCTTGGACATCCATTCAATGAAATCCTGAGGCGCAATGGTCATCAGCCAGCCCCCTGAATATTAGATTCCTGTTTGCTGTGATCTGCTTTCTAATGGCCTGGGAGAAAAATCAGAGATCTGGGATTTTATCATCAGGGCAGAGTGAGCAGTATAAAACAACCCACCTCTGCTGGCTGTCCAAAGGAGTTGCCTACAATCCCAGATGCCCCTCATTTGAGCCCATCCCCCCCCCAAGGTTTGAATGCCCTCACAATGTGTAGCTCACTCCCCTGGGGACTATATTCATCCTATGGTGAATCACTGAGCCCATCCCCCCCCCAAGGTTTGAATGCCCTCACAATGTGTAGCTCACTCCCCTGGGGACTATATTCATCCTATATTTATCCTATATTCATCCTATATTCATCCAGTGATTCAGTGAATCACTGCTCTAAGTATCAGCAAACTTGCCCAGAACTTGTTTCTCTTTCTTCTTTGGGACCTCCCCTAAGAACCACTAAGCAAATACATGAAGATGTCTTATACCAAGTCAGCCCATCTAAGCCACTACTTGACTTGTTTGACTGGATGCAGCTCTACAAGATTCCGATAGAGAAGGGTTTCCTTCTCCTGTTGTCTGACAGCTTTTAGCTGGATGTGCTGGGGATTGAACCTGGGACCCTCCGCCTGTGAAGGAGAGGTTCTAGTACTGAGCTATAGCCATCTGTTATTTCACAGAAAGCATTACACAGACAGAACTACCCCTGAATGAACATATGAAACTACCTTAAGTCAAGATAGATCCCGGTAGGTAGCCGTGTTGGTCTTAAGCATTAGAACAAAGTTTGAGTCCAGTGGCACCGTTAAGACCAAGGAAGTTTTATTCAGGGTATGAACTTTCATGTGCACACACACTTCCTGTGATATCTGAGGAAGTGTGTGTGCACACGAAAGCTCATACCTTGGATAAAACTTTGTTGGTCTTAAAGGTGCCCCTGGACTCAAACTTTGCCTTAAATCAAATCAAACCATCAGTCCATCTAGCATAATTCGACTGGAAGTGGCTTCCCAGGCACAGAAATGCCTTTCTCAGCACCTGTGACCATTTTAACTGGAGAAGTTGGGTGCTGAACCTGGAACCTTCTGCATGTCAAGTAGATGCTCTGCCACTGAGCCAGAGCCTTGATCCAGAAATCAGAACTGGAAGGTGGAAGTCATGCTCAGAGACACATTTTTCTAGATAACCAATTGGGATGGGGTAAAAAATCCTTTAAGGTAAAGGTTTCCCTTGCTCGAAAGCCAGTCGAATCCGACTCTAGGGTTGGGGTGACTAAATGCCAAGGGTGTGCCGCATGACGGAATGAGCTCCCGTCTCTAGTTCCAGCTCCTGCCAACCTAGCCGTTCGAAAGCAAGAAATTGCAAGTAGATAAATAGGTACCACTTCAGTGGGAAGGTAACAGCGTTCCGTGCACCTTGGTGTTTAGTCATGCCGGCCACATGACCACGGAAACATCTTCGGACAGCGCTGGCTCTTCGGCTTAGAAACGGCTTTGAAGTTGGATTTGACTGGCTTTCGAGCAAGGGAACCTTTACCTTTACTAAGAAATCCTTTAAAAAGTGGTTTTAAGACATAAAACCTGGTAGGAATCTACATCCCAAGGTCTGCAAATAATGCCCTGTAGCCCCCAAAGTGTAAGACAGCAGTGTGGGAAACCATATTCTGCCCATATTCAGAGGCACTTCTGTTTCAATGTGTACACAAAGAATAGTTCTAGGAACCAATGCAGGGTGTCAGTGACAGGAAACTCTGTGACATCACATTGAAGTGCCATCACAGCATGGTGTAGTTACTGGGCCTTAGGGTGTTAGAGTAGGATCTGGAGGACCTGGGTTCAAATCTCCATTCAACCATGACAGCATTTATTCAGATTCCAAGCCCAGTGCATTCCAGAAGCACAAACGGGGTAACAGTGCATATGAAAGGTATGCATAAAATACAGCATCATTAACAAATCATTATTTAAGCTACCAGCCTTGTGGCATGCCATGAGCTAACAGTGGGAATGGATAGTCTTGCCTTCCGAGCAGGTATTTGGAGCAACTGCAGCGTTCACTTCTGCCATCCCTGTAACTTCATGAGTCTCTATTTATTTATTTATTTTGCAGATTTGACGATTCCTATATGTGGTGACGACCTTCTCACTCCCCATCCGACAGCTTTGTCGGTTATAATTCTGTTGTGTCGTTTGCATTTTTTGGAAAAACAATCAAGCCTTGATGAGCTGATCCCTTTCTTTAGAGGGCCTGTCCTCTCCCTATCCTCCAGTTCCCCCTCCCCCCAGGATCTGAGGCTTGGGAAAGAATCGCTTTGGGCATTTTCAGACAACAGCATTCATGAGGAGGTTGCGTCTCCTCTTTCCCGCAAGCCGAGCAGAGGGCGCTGCAGAAGATCATGGCGCCTGGGGCAAGATGGGGTGTGAGTGTCTTTGGTGGTGGCATATCTTGTACTTGTAATGGTGTCTGTGTTGATTATTAGTGCAAGACCCCACTATGTCTGCCCTGGGTTGATCTTTATTTTATACGTCATTTATATCTGTGTGTATGTGTGCGTGCATGATTGAGAGAGAGAAAAGGAGAGAGAGTGTGTGTATATGCATTATTTCAAATGAATTTCCTCTACATCTACAATAAAGAGCAAGTTTAATGGAAATGCCTATGTCAAATGTTCCTTTTTTGCTTCCTTATGTTGAACACCTAAAATGGCACTTTCTGTCAGTACATAGCTAGGACCCAACATGATCCACAGAAGCGGTCCTCAAGCTTTCACATGAAGCTTCCTTATACTGAGTCAGACCATTGGTTTATCAAGGTCAGTCTTGTCTACTCTGATTGGAAGACACTGTCCAGGAACTCAAGCAGAGGTCTTCCATACCATCTGCTACTTGACCCTTTAACTGGAGTTGCAAGGGATTGAACCTGGGACCTTGGGCATGCAAATTAGGTGCTCTGCCACTGAAACACCTCCCCCAGATTTTCAGACCTAGGTATCCTTTTTAGGCCACCAGATTAGAGCACGCAGCTCCACTAAACTGCGATCATATAAGAAGTCATGTGACATCACAGTCACATGAGAGGAAGAAAAGGATTCACAGTTATGAGTGGGGAAGCTCTGCACTATAAGCATGTACAGAGCAGGAGGGCCTGATAGATGAACCGATACTTATCACTGGCACTGCTACCTAGTGTGAGCTGCGTGGCCCCTGCAGAACTACTAGGGCTTGGCTTAGCTTGCTCATGGCTACTAGAAGCCCTCCCAGATAGGGCCCACCAGGAACTTACCCTGTAGGTTCAATGGCCAGAGTGCCCCTGAATGTATCCACTACCTAAAGCCTTTCACATCATCAAGAGTAAAAATTTGACTCACCACTTTGAAGATCTGCTTCAGTAGCCAATGCAATGCACTTATCTGGTATCAACATGAGGAAAATGTAGGCAGTTGCGCTTGGAAAGGAAGAGAAGCGACAGAGACGACCTTATCCCAAAATGGTGTGAAACAGATTCTACTGGAAGATCCCATTGGGATGCCCACAACTTTTACCAGTTGATTAATTATATTTATGTCCTGCTTTCCCACCAAGGCTGGCTGTTAAAACAGGTTGGGGCCAGCAAAATTAGAGATGGACACGTACTGGCTACTGAACTAAAATTCGTGACGAATTGAGAACTGAAGTTTGTGACAAGACAGCCAGCATGAACATTCCATGAACTTTCCAGCAGTTCATGGAGGTCCATGGTGGTTCATGGTGGTTCATGAATGGATACATTTCCAGACTGTCTCAAACAAAATGTTTACGAAACTTCAAAGCAACAGTGCAGGGAAACAGTCTTGTCAATTTCAAACTAGTTTTGTCAGTTTCAGTCTAGTCAATTTCAAACTAGTTTTGTCAGTTTCAGTCTAGTCAATTTCAAACTAGTTTTGTCAGTTTCAGTCTAGTCAATTTCAAACAGAGCTTGCAAAAACTCCCCCCCCCCGCTTGGATTTATTGTGACTCTGAGCTTGCAATGCCAGTGGTACTGGGTTCTGCTGGGCATTCTGCACATTGTAACTGGTTGTGCTGGGCTTGTAAACTGGCACTGGGTTCTGCAAGGGCACTCTTTGATTGCACTGGTAATGTTGGGCACTCTGTACATTGCACTGGTTCTGCTGGGCTCACAAAAATCCCCTCCACCTTCAGTTTCTACTACAGAGATTCTCTGGTTTGAAGAAGAAGTAGTGTTGGTTTTATACCCCACTCTTCCCTACCCAAATGAGTCTCAGAGCGGCTTACAATTGCCTTACCTTCTTTTTCCCACAACAGACACCTTGTGAGGTAGGTGGGGCTGAGAGAGAGAACTATGACCGACTCAAGGTCACCCAGCTGTCTTCATGTGGAGGAGTGGGGAATCAAACCTGGTTCTCCAAATTAGAGTTTGCTGCTCTTAACCACTACACCATACTGGCTTGACCTTAGTCCTATTGGGTTTGCACTGCCACAGAGGCACTGGTTCTGCTGGGCTTGCAATCCCCCCTTCAGTTTCTACTGCAGAGATTCTCTGGCTTGACCTTAGTCCTGTTGGGTTTGCACTGCCACAGTGGCACTGGTTCTGCTGGGCACATTGCACTGGCTCTGCTGTGCTTGCAAAAATGCCCCATCATTCAGTTTCTACTGCAGAGATTCTCTGGGACTTTGGTTCTCTTCTGCTGGGTTTGTACTTCCCCCCTTTTTTGCTACCCCCCCTTTATTAGAAACAATGGAAGATGGGGTACTTTCTTTGGGGGGCCCTAACTCGGACCCTGTAAATCCAGTCATCACCAAACTTGGAGAGCAGGTAGAGGAGAGTCAGCTGGAGACCCCTGTGAGTTTGGTGTCTCTAGCACTCTTGGGGGAATTTCACCATGTCATGAACCTCACAAACCAAACCGGTTTGTTTGGTGGCTAAAAGTCTGTGGCGGTTCATGGTTAGCGAACTGGGAATGCCACACACCACAAACCAAACCACATTTTCCCACTTTGTGCCCATCCCTAATCAAATCCCTCACAAATGTATATGTTAAGGATATGTAAATGTGTGCAACTGGCTCCTTGAAGTTAATTCCATAATCCATGTTATAAGAACTAGTATGGTATAATGGTTAGGGTGTTGGCCTAGTCTCTGGGAGACCTAGATTTGAATCTCCACATACTATGAAATTTATTGGGTGAGCCTGGGCCAGTCATTCTCTCTCAGCCTAGCCCATTGCACGGGGTCGCTATGCTGGTAAAATGGAGGAGGGGGAGAACAACGTACACTGCACTGAGCTTTTTGAAGGAAGGGTGGGATAAGAATGTACTAAACACATACCTCACAAAGTTGTTGTAAATGCAAAAAGAGGGAGAAAAATACATCGAAATCTGTATGAGCCTAAGTTGGTGGCCTGTATCTTCCCACCCCTCTCAGCAAAGTGTGAGGTTTTCCTCCAGCCTAAGGAACCTTCCTCCAGTTTAAATGGCTCTTTCTCTTGTGTCCAGAAACACACTTCCCCACCGTATTTGGAAGCTGATTCGAAAGTCGGATTTTCTCCCATTTTTTATTTTAGCTTAGAGGCTGAGCATTCTGCCTCTGCTAATACTGTGGGTGCGGTTATGCAGGATTCTATAATAAAAATAATCCTTGATTTTCTACACAGATTTGGGTCAAATCCTCAGACTTAAACCTTTTGGAAGCAAGTGCTACATTTACAGTGCAATCCTCAGCACCCTTCTAAATCCAATGGATTTAGTTAATTTCTGATATGTTTGGTGATTATATCTCTCCAGATCCTGTGGTTTGTAGGTGGCGTGCCATGTAAAAAAAAAAAACTGATATGATTTGGGAATTATTGGTAGGAAGCTTTTAGCCACCAAACTATGGGTTGGGTCCAGACAGTTTTCTCACTCAATTTGTCCAGTTCCCTTCTTTATTATAGTCTCTGTACCACATGGGTTTTGCCCATACAGGTGTCATAGCTCCCAGCATAGCCTTGAAAGGGGATGCCTCCAGTGCAGGTTAAAACAAAGGGATCCAACCCTATGTGTTGCTGCTTGTTAGAAAATGGAAAGTGTCCCATCTACATCTGACAGGAATACAAGAAGCCCTTTCATAGAAGCTAACTTTTTTTACATAGGAGTTTGAGAGGAACAGCCCTGACCTGGATAGCCCAGGCTAGCCTAATCTCAGAAGCTAAGCAGGGTTGGCCTTGGCCAGTATTTGGATGGGAGACAACTAAGGAATACCAAGGTCACAATATGGAGGCAGGCAATTCTAAATCACCTCTGAATCCAGTAGTACCTTAAAGGTAAAGGTAAAGGTTCCCTTGCTCGAAAGCCAGTTGAGTCCGACTTAGGGTTGCAGTGCTCATCTCCGTTTCAAAGCCGAAGAGCCAGCACTGTCCGAAGATGTTTCCGTGGTCATGTGGCCGGCATGACTAAACACCAAGGTGCACAGAACGCTGTTACCTTCCCACCGAAGCGGTACCTATTTATCTACTTGCAATTTTCTTGCTTTCGAACTGCTAGGTTGGCAGTGTATCTTCCCACCCCTCTCAGCAAAGTGTGAGGTCTTCCTCCAGCCTAAGGAACCTTCCTCCAGTTTAAATGGCTTTTTCTCTTGTGACCAGAAACACACTTCCCCACCATATTTGGAAGCTGATTCGAAAGTCTGATTTTCTCCCATTTTTTAGTTTGGCTTAGAGGCTGAGCATTCTGCCTCTGCTAATACTGTGGGTGCGGTCATGCAGGATTCTATAATAAAAATAACCTTGCTTTGATTTTCTACACAGATTTGGGTCAAATCCTCAGACTTAAACCTTTTGGAAGCAAGTGCTACATTTACAGTGCAATCCTCAGCACCCTTCTAAATCCAATGGATTTAGTTAATTTCTGATATGTTTGGTAGTTATATCTCTCACGATCCTGTGGTTTGTAGGTGGCGTGCCATGAAAAAACATTGCTGATATGATTTGGGAATTATTGGTAGGAAGCTTTTGGCCACCAAACTATGGGTTGGGTCCAGACAGTTTTCTCACTCAATTTGTCCAGTTCCCTTCTTTATTATAGTCTCTGTACCACATGGGTTTTGCCCATACAGGTGTCATAGCTCCCAGCATAGCCTTGAAAGGGGATGCCTCCAGTGCAGGTTAAAACAAAGGGATCCAACCCTATGTGTTGCTGCTTGTTAGAAAATGGAAAGTGTCCCATCTACATCTGACAGGAATACAAGAAGCCCTTTCATAGAAGCTAACTTTTTTTGCATAGGAGTTTGAGAGGAACAGC